TTGGGACTTAAGAGGAAGGCTGGAGGTAGAGATGAGGAAGAGAGCATTCCAGGCATGGGGAACAGACAGAAAAAAATACCCAGAGCTAAGAGATTGGGTGTCTTGTTCATCAAACAGCAAAGAGGCTGATGTGACTGGAGTCGAGGATATATTGGGGAGGGGGGATGTAAAAAGGCTGGAAAGGCAGGAGGAGGCTAGTTTATGAAGGGTTTTTAATGCCAAACAGAGCATTTTGTATTTGAACCTGGAGCTGATAGGGAGCTACTGGAGTTTACTGAATTGGGTGGGAAGGAAAAGGGGGAGCTGACATAATTGGATCTGCACTTGAGGAAAATCACTTTAGTTGCTGAATGGAGGGACTGGAATGGGGAGAGACTTGAGGCAGGCAAACCCATCAGCAGGCTTCTGCAATAGTCCAGGCTTGAGAGGATGAGGTGACTGAACTGAAGTGGTGACAGTGTTAGAGGAGAGAAGGGGGTATATTCAAGAGTTGTTGCAAAGGTGAAATTAACAGGCCATGGCAACAGGTTGGCTAGGAGAGTAAGAGATAGTGAAGAATCCAAAATGACTCCCAGGTTGCAAGTCTAAGGCACTGGGAGGATGGTGTTGCCCTCTACAGAAATAGGGAAGGTAAGAGGAGGGATTAGAGGGAGAAATAATGAGTTCTATTTTAGACATATTAAGATGTCTACTGGATATTCAGTTCAAGATATATGAAAGGCAGTTGAACATGCAAGATTAGAGGTCAGCAGAGAGAGACTGGGAGTAAGTCAGGTAGATTTAAGAGTCATCAGCTTAGAGATAGTAATTAAATTGATGAGAGCTGATGAGAAGTAAAGTATAGTATGATATAGTACAGTGAAGTATAGTACAGAGGGAGAAGAGAAAAGGGCCCAGGACAGACTCTTTGAGAGACAACTATGGTTAGAAGACATGATCTGGAAAAAGATCCAGAGAAGGGACAGTCAGAAACATAGGAGAAAAACTAGTAGAGATGTTGTCTTTAAATCCTAGGAATTGTGGGAAGATGACAGAATAAGGAAATTGATTGGTTCTCCCAAATCCCCCACCCACAAATAACTAAAAATAATGTCTTAAGGTGAATTTTAGATGGCAGAAATAATTGAAAGTGGAGATAAAGCAGTCATCCAGCTTAAGACAACTTGAGTAAGTATGTTATAAGAAAATGGAACATATTACCTATCAGATTTATGGATAAGAGAATTTATGAATAAACAAGAGATAGCATTGTGAGATGTAAACTGGATAATTTTGATTAGATTAAAGTTTTTTTTGTTTTGTTTTTGTTTTTGCTTTGTTACAAATAAAACCAATGTAGCCAAGGTAAGAAGGAAAGTAGAAAATTTTGGAGGGGGGGAAACTTATAAACCATTTCTTGGATAAAGACCTCATATCTCAAATATACAGAGAATTCTGTCAAATTTATAAGATTATAAGTCACTCTCCAATTGATAAATGGCCAAAAGATACAAATGGGCAGTTTTTGGAAGAAGAAATCAAAGCTATATATAATCATATGAAAAAATGCTCTAAATCATTATTGATTAGAGAAATACAAATTAAAACTACTTTGAGATACCAATTCATTATCAGATTGGCTAAAATGAAAGAAGGGGAAAATGACAACTGTTGTTGGGGATGTGGAAAAATTGGGACACTAATACACTGTTGGTGGAATTGTGAACTTACCCAACCATTTTAGAAAGTAATCTGGAATTGTGCCTAAAGAGTAATAAAACTGAGGCAGCTAGGTGATATAGTGGATAGAACACTGGCCCTGGAGTCACAAGGACCTGAGTTCAAATCCAGCCTCAGACACACGATACTCACTAGCTGTGTGACCCTGGGCAAGTCACTTAACCCCAATTGTCTCACAAGAAAAAAAATTTTTTTTTAAAAAGAGTAATAAAACTGTGTATACCCTTTGATTCAGCAATACCACTATTGGGCCTATTTCTCAAAGTGATCAGAGAAAAAGGAAAATGTTCTAAAATATTTATAGCAGTTCTCTTTGCGATGGTGGCAAAAAACTGGAAATTGAGGGGATACCCATCAGTTGTGGAATGGCTGAATGAGTTGTGGTATATAATTGTGATGGAATATTGCTGTACTGTAAGAAATGATGAGCAGGTTGATTTTAGAAAAGGCTTGCATGAAATAATGAAAAATGAATCAAGAGAACATTGTATACACTAACAGCAATATCATTGGAAGAGTAAAAGTGAATGACTAAGCTATTCTGAGTAATATAAATATTCAAATCAACTTCAAAGGACTCATGAAGAAAGATGCTATCTACCTCCAGAGAAAGAACTGATATAAGGAAGTATGAATTGTATGGTTTCACATATAGATAGGTAGACAGACAGACAGACAGACAGATAGAAAGACAGACAGACAGACAGATAGATGGATAGATGTCAAATGTTGGCCTTCTCTAGTGTGGGGTTGGGAGGAAGGGAGGGAGACAACTCAGAACTCGAAGTGTAACTAACTAATTAAATAAATAAATAAGGGGAGGGGCAATTTTAAAACCTTGAGAGAAGAGAGAATCAAGGAGGAGAAAATGATCAACAGTGTCACAGGCAAGCAGCGAAGTCAAGGAGAATGAAGATTGAGAAAAGATCATTGGATTTGGCAATTAAGAAATCAATGGCAACTTATCAGTAAAATAAGGGGTAGGGAGTACTACATGACTTGAAAAATTCCTTCCAGCTCTAAATCCTATTATCCCTAAACATAGACTTCCCCCAAAGATATTTAATGGGCTGCATATAAACATCCAAACTTAATCTATCTTGAGAACTTCATTCTTGAATACATACCTTTTGGGCCACCCCATTTGGATGTTCTATTAGCATCTTTATTTTTTTTTTTTTAGGCAATTGGGGTTAAGTGACTTGCCCAGGGTCACACAGCTAGTAAGTGTCAAGTGTTTGGTCTGAGGCCGGATTTGAACTCAGGTCCTCCTGACTTCAGGGCCGGTGCTCTATCCACTGCGCCACCTAGATGCCCCCCATTAGCATCTTTAACAGCTAAACTTATATTTCCCTTTAATCTCTCACTTCCCAATTTTCCCTATTTCTGTTGAGGGTACCACCATCTTCAAAGTCATAAGCCTTGAAATTGATCTCCTCTTCTAGAAAGGCAGTATGATACAGTGTGAAGAGTTTTGGAATTGGAGCCAGAGGAGCTGAGTTCAAATCTCAGCTCTGCTATGTACATACTTGTGAGACCCTAGGCAAGAAACTTCATTCACCTCTCTTGGCCTCAGAGATACTTAGCCAGAAAAGGAATGGGTGAGACTAGATCTTAGACCACTTCTAGCTCTATGTCTATGCTATGATGTTCACGGTTTCTTTTGCAAATGGTTAACATGGGCACTACAACATAAAATAACAAATAGCCCACTTAATTATATTCCTTGTTACCTTTTAATGCATGGCAAAAAGCAACCCTATCAGCTTTATTTGTTTCTCCAAAGAGAACCAAGTCTCTTTCCATTTAGGAGCCACAACTACCTTTTTGGCTTCTTGTTTCATTTAAACTAAGAATACTGACACTGATATGATTTATAAAAATTCAGACGCTGCTAACCTATTCCCATTAACTTAGAATTATCTGTGATGTAGTGAAAAAACAAACAAACAACTAAACTTAGAGTTAGGGGAGGTAGTTCGTTCCATTCATACTCTGACACTACGTGATCCAGGTCAAGTCATCTTGTCAATTTCTTCAGAATGGATAACCTCCAGGCAGGGCCCTTAACCTTCTGTGGTTACAGATCCCTTTGCCAGTCTGGTAAAACCTATGGACTCTTTCTCAGAATAATACTTTTAAATAATTGGAGCAAATGAATTTCAGTTAAAGGTTAGTGAAAATAAAGGTATAAATGTTTTCCCATCCAAGCCCATGAGTACCCTGAAACCTATTCAGAGACTCTCTCAGATGTCTATGGACCCCAGATTAAGAACAAATGCTCTAAGGTGACATCTAAGGTCCCTCCCAACTCCGACTTTTTGTTATTTTATGTCTTAACTAGGGAGTAGTATGAAGACAGTTGCACAGGAAGAACAAGAGTGGTGCAAATAGAACCCCAAAGCTCCTCAACTCCACTGATTAGCAGCTCTCTTTTCGCATTTTTTTTAACTCTATTCCATTAAGCTGCTTTTAGTGGCAAGGTATATTCTTATACTGATATAAATACTTTCACATTAATTCCAAAAGTAAGAACTGGAAATAATTTTTAGGCTATAATATATGCATATGCCTAATTATAAATAATAACTTTTTACTAGTACCTCACATAAACTCAATTTCCTTAAAGTAAGCACTATTGTCAAAATGCCAATAATTAGGGCATATGTGGTATAAAAGTAGCCAACAAGTCTTTCAAGTTCTACTACTGACAGAATGTAGTAAAATATAACTATACATCAAGAGAGAACACTATGACTTTGAAGAAACTAAAGTCAAATACATTAAAGACACATTTGCCTGGTGAGGAAAAAAAATAGATTTAATGCCTGTGTAAATTGAACATCTGCCCTAATTAATTCTCATCTTAAGTATTAATATGCAAAGATTTAACACATCTTAGTAGAACAGTAGAGGAGTCTTACTGATTAAAGACTTTTAATATTAAAAAACTTGAGGAAAAACTTCATTTTAATTAAGTTTTAAAATTAAGGGTTTTTAATTTTATTTTGCATACATATTTCCATTGAAATCTGAGTAGTGTGGTATTAAAACAAAGAAATGCCAAATGTAATAGGAAGACACTAAGAAAATTTTCAAACAATTGTCAGTACACACATTTATGGGACTAAGTTTCTTTTCTGTTCTGACATACAAATAATATATTGCTATTTAATTATTTATGATTGTCTTTAGTTGGAACTAAATGGCTTGAAAATAAAGAATTCTAGTTTCCTGTAAGGATTTCAAATGCTGAGAATACAAAGAAAAAAACCACTTACTTCAAAAAGAAAGAGGATAGAGTCCAGCTCCTCCCGTTGCGACTTATTATTTCCTGGAATACAGAAAAAAACAAAACATCAATGTTACTCTGCCAGTGCTAGAAATCTTGCAGACAGTTGTTTTAAAAGAAAGTCTTAAGGCATTTATTCTTCAGTTAATTAAACCGATTTCTAAAATATGAGAAGAGTTCCCTCCCCCCCAAAGTATATCATGATTCTTCTTTTCACATTTTTCTCGTTCCAACACTGACTTTACTAAAATGACAAAGTTCAAAATGACAAAGTGGTCTTATTTGTCCTACTCCATATTCTGACTGCTGAGCAACTATATCTTTTACAAAGAGAAAAAAACAGCCACCATTTTAAGAACAGGTTTCACATATCAAGAGGAAAAGTTCTTAACTTTGGGTCTATGAACTGGTTCTTTTATATATTTTGAAAACTATACTTCAAGATAGTTTCTTTTGTAATTCTATGTATTTTATTTTATGCATTTAAAAATGTTATTCTGAGAAGGTGTCTAGAAAGTTTCACCAAATTGCCAAAAGAATTTTTATTGTTCAGTCGTTTTCTTCATGACTTCTGGAGTGGTTTGCCATTTCCTTCTCCAGTCCCTTTTACAAATGAGGAAACTGAGGCAAACAGGGTTAAGTGACCTGCTCTGGGTCACACAGCTAATAAGTAAGTGTCTGAGGCTGAATTTGAACTCAGGAAGATGCATGAGTCCAAGCCTGGCAGTTTATCCACTGTGCCACTTAGCTGCCAAAAGGAAACAGATTAAGAATCCTGATCCAGAGCTTTAATTTTTGTTATTTGTTATTTAGGGCCAAAATCACATTGTACTTTACTTCTCCACATTTCTATGGAATCAGAAGATGAAAACTGAGAAGAGAGATGCAAACTAGGCAATTTTAAAATCTAAAATATCTGTATCAATTTTCACATAAAACACAGGATCCATAGCTATTTTTAAATTAAATCTCAAAGATTTTGCAGTCTATAAAACCAGAAAAAATAAATGATTAGTGCATAGACCGATATGTTATAAGTAAGAAATCTTACATTATTAAAAAAATGTTCCAAAACAGTATAACCCATTTGTAACAACTATAAACTTCACTTAAATCCAATTCACATCACTGTGCTAATGTCAAGGTCCCCTTCAAGAACAAAGGACAAACAACAACAAAACAACAAACCAGAAGAACACAAATCAGGTAGCCAACAAAAATTAAAGACAGAAATCATTGTGGGCCACCTCTGGAAATTACCAGGAATCAAAGTATGTCTTTATGATAGTAGAATATATATGGAATGGACTACATAGAACTTGTTGTGCTACTTAATTTAATGCTTCAAGGATTTCTCAGTGTGAGTATACACTACTCTAATGAGTATTATAATCTTCTTCCACAAAATAGTATAGGGTTTTCATGCACTGATATGAGTAAAAATAAAAATTCATCAACTAATAATAATAAACACTCTTTAAACTAAGCAGTGAGGCTTATCCTCAAATGACAGTTTTTATATCTGATGATATTTTCATATCATCAATGGCCCTGTGCTTAAAGCCATTCAAGATTAGCAACACCACAGTACTTAGCACTCCAATGGCAAAGCCTGGGTTCTTCAGAGCCCAGAATTACTTTCACCTAAAAATGGAACCTGACAGTAAGAATTTGGTGGAGGTTACTAGTAACAAAAGAGTCATCTATAAATGAAAGAAAAGAACTCTATTAGGAACAGCTCCACTCTTTGTTGAATAACTAAACTCATATGTAACCCATTTATTTATCTTAAAACTAAACTCTAGAATAGGATTAAAGACCTGGATAACAGTTCTATCTCTATATACCTTGGAGGAAATATGCTTTATATTTAACTTCAGTTTCCCTATCCTTAAAATAAAGGTGTTTAAACTAAAATGATCAGTAGGATCCTTTCTAGTTCTACTCAGAACCAATGATTTTGTGTAGATTGGGGCAGCTAAGTGGCTCTATACATAGAGTGCCAGGCCTGGATTCATGAAGAGTCCTCTTCCTGAGTTCAAATCTGGCCTCAGACATTTATTAGCTGTGTGACCTTGGGCAAGTCACTTAACCCTGTTTGCCCCAGTTTCCTCCTTTATAAAATGAGCTGGAGTAGGAAATGGCAAACCGCTCCATTATCTATCTACCAAGAAAACCCCAAATGGGGTCTCAAGAGTTAACATGAGTGAACAGCAACAAAGATTTAGTGTGGCCTTTACAACTCATTCCGCCCATTTTCTCTTGCTAGCCACTTTTTAGCCGTTTCATTGTTCATTAGCACCTACCTTATAAAATGAAATGAAAGGAGATGGAATGTAAATATCACAGTTGTAATTCTTTTTTCAATCAAAATGGTCCATCCAAAAAGCTCCTCCAAAAATGCTTAGGTGGGCATAAGATTGAAATATTGACTAAACTAAGGACTTTTTGTTGTTTTTTAACATGTGAGAAAAATTCCCACCATAAATGTGAGTACATTTTAATACCATGACATAATTAGATGGGAAAAAAAAAAACTTACCTTTTAATTTTAAGTTATTTTCCAGTGTTATGAAATTTTCATAGAAGATGAAATATATTTGAGAATAGTTGGTCTCAAAAAAATATTTCAGTTCACTCGTATCTACAATATCTAAAAAAAAGAAAAATGTTTTCATTTATAATCACATTTATGCCCTTATGAGAAATCATAAACTTATTTTTATAAAATGTGTACAAAAAGCCACAAAATACTGTTAACCACTTTTGTGGAGTAAAGAAGATAAAAGAATAGATTTTTTTGTTTTCTTCATTTTTAAACAAAGGCATCAACGGCACAATGGGAAGAGTACTAGAATTGATTTCAAATTATAGCTATGCCCCCTGTTACCTCACAATCTCACTACTTCCTGAACTACTAACATGTAATATATTACCTAATTTACCTAATTAATAAGGTCATGTCATTGAATGAGATCACGTAATGTGAAAGTACACTGAAGACTATGAATATATATGCCACTAATAATTACCATTCCATTAGGCTTATCATATATCAACTAATATAACTCCAAACTCTAAATAAGCTTGAAAGACAGGATTATTGTATTATATATATAACATACGCAATTATCAATACATCAATCAGAAACAAATTTGGATTCATAGAAATAGCACCATATATGAAATGAGAGGATCCATGTTCAAATCACAATGATTCCTTATTTCCTATATAACTTTAGACAAATTCTAAACCTTCTGAGCCTAGTTTTCTCATCTTAAAAATGGTGGCAGCTTGGGAAATGGGGAGGAGTGGTTTCAATCAGTCAATAAACATTTATTAAGCTCTACTACAAGCCAGACATAGTAAGTACAGGAGATACAAAGAAAGACAAAAGACAAGCTCCTGCCTTTAAGGAGCTCACAACCTAAAGAGGGAAGACAATGCATTTAAAAAAAAAAAAGAAGAAGAAGAAGAAGCTAAGAGGAAAGAGGTGGGTGAGGAAGGAAGCTGGGAGAGGGACAGGACTGATAAAGTCCAGAGCAATGCAGCCAGTGGGAAAAGAAATGTCAAACCTGGCTGGCCTCCCTAAAGGGAGGATAGGAAGGAGAGTTCTACACTACCCTCCACACTCTCCAATCAGAGGAAGGGAGAGGCCTCAGGAGCAGGGAGTAGAGAGGAGATGAGAACTCCAGGTTGCTGTAATCTTCCAAGATGATGAGATTCCTGTGGACATAAAGAAATCCAGGAGAATGCCATGGTAGATGAATCTTTAAAAATATTTTATATAAATGAATCAATCAAGTGTTTATTAAGCACTATGTCCAAAGCACTGTGCTACGCGCTAGGGATAGAAACAGAAAAGTAAGACAGTCCCTACTAGAGCTCCCATTCAAATGAGGGAGACAATTCAATTGGAAGATTTCAGATGCAAGTTCTATGGAAAGGTACCATGGTTGATCTGCAATTAGAGGACAATGGTTAAACTGATGGCGATTCTTCTTTTTAAATGTCATTTTCACTAATAAAATCGTATCAGTTTCTGATGTCATGCCATTTGACAGTGCCAAAGACTTTGGTAACAACTTTCTTTTCTGGATTAGTCAATACATGTGACTCTAGCACCCGCAGGAGCAGTTGCTAGGTGTCATCTCCACAGAGATTACTTCTCAAGATGACAACTGGGTATGCTGCTATTACAAAGGCCTTGCATTCAGGGTTCTGAGCTGTCTCCCTCAGTCTCAGGAGACATGCTGATGTGGTTAAAGCAGTGGCAGTGGTTTGAATTGCCTGGAGCATACTGCTTCCTATCTTTCCCTTAGGGTTCCCTGAAACTTCAGATAGGTTGGTTTGACTGCCCTTTGAGTGGCATTTAGTTGGCATTGGTGGAGATGTACCCTTTCCTATAGGACCACTTGCTTCAATGATAACTAACTGTAGCGTCTGAGCTGGAAGCAGAAGCCATAGTCTAGAAAGAAGGTGCTGCCATTCCCAGGGCTCTTATGATTATCTACAGCTGGTTGGCAGTAGTTGGTCAAAAGTTGTTGCTGCGGATGATGAGGAAGGTCTACAATGCTATTTCCCCTAAGTGACTGACTTCAAGGGCTGGACCAAAAGCAGGTCTCCTGGCTAGGTAGACACTTCTATTCCCAAGGCTCTTGAGATCAGGATCTGGGCTATCTCCATGAGAATTTAAGGAGATATGGTGGTCAAAGTGGTGTCAGTGTTTGGCTCACCTGGCACATGCTGGATATTGGGAGGAGGATAATGACAATCATTGCAAGAATTTTTATGTTGATATTTTTTCCTTAACAAACATAGGCTGTCCATTTTAATGATGTTAGCTTAGTGTTTTTCTGAGAGGTTCTTTAATCTCTATATCATACTTTGCCTATGAATGTGTATAAAGTAAAAAACATGACAGTGTTGCATACTTGTAATAAGATAAAATTAATGTGGAAATATGGTATCTTGTTTCTAAAAACTCAAATCTGAATTATATTTGTCACTCTCTAACCAATTCTTAATTAGCCACCACATTAAGTGGAGGGATGAAGAAGAGATGGCAAAAACAGATAATAACTACAAGAAATAACAAGATTTCACCTGGTTTGTATTTTTTTGCTTTGTTTTGTTTTGTTTTGTTTTTGTTTTTTTTGCCATGGCCAATTTTGTTAGAGATGCTGAGCGAAAAGGCAGGGAGTTGAAAAGTAGAATGCTAGATAACTGATTCTTCAATTAATCAATGTTGACTGTAGTTTTCTAATAATTGCTTTGAATCAAGATTATTCAAATTAAGCACCTACTATGTACCAGGCACTGTGCTGAGTGTTAGGGATACAAAAGAGTCAAAAGACATCCCATGCCTTCAAGGATCTTACAATTACATAGGGGAGACAACAAGCAAACAAATATGTACAAACAAGCTACATACAGGACAAATAGGAAATTATTATCAGAGATGAAGCACTAGAATTAAGAGCGTTTGAGGTTTCCTGTAGAAGGTGGGATTTTAATTGTGACTTAAAGGAAATCAGGAGAGCCAGGAGGCAGACATAGGGAGAGAGAACATTCTAGGCAGGGGGTATAGCCAGAGAAAATGCTAGGAACCTGAGAGATTGAAAGTCTTCTTTGTGGAACAGAAAGGATGCCAGAGTCACTGGATCAAAGAAGTAAAGGATGATAAGACTGGAACATTAGAATGGGGATAGGTTATGAGGGACTTTGAACCCCAAACAGTATTTTGTAATTGATGCTAGAGGCAATAATCATTGGAGTTTATTGAGGGAGGGGTAGAGGGGAGGGTTCACATGGTTGGACTGGTGCTTTAGGATCTTCAACTTTGTTTGCGGAATGGAGAATGGAATGGAGTAGGGAGAGAATTGTGGAAGCAGACCATTCAGCAGGCTATTACAGTAGTTCACACTCAGGGCCTACACCAAGGTGGTGTCTGTATCAGAGGAGACAAGGGGATGTATTCAAGAGACATTGCAAAGATTAAATTCACAGGTCTTGGCAATAGTTTGGAGATGAGGGTAAGACATAATAAGGAGTTAAGGATGACATCTTGGTCGTGTGAGCCTGAGGGACTAGGAAGCTGTTGGTACTCCTGACAGTAACAGGGAAATTTGGAAGGGGTGAGAATTTAGTGGGAAAAGTTATGAGTTCATTTTTGGACATGTTGAGTTTAAGATGTCTACTAGACATCCAGTTTGAGATGTCTGAAAGGCAGTTTTGGAGGTGGGAGATTAGAGATCACCATAGAGGTTAAGGCAGTATAGCACATTTCAGAATCAACAACATAGAAATGATAATTAAAGGCAAGCTCTCATCCAGAGGTCAGAAGAAGTAATACAAGGACCCTCTCAAAGTCTCTCTGAAGAACTTTGGAATTGATTGTGAGACATGGAAAAACACTGGCACAGGACCTCCCAGAATGGTGTGCCTGAATCAAGAAAGGCACTGTGCTCTACAAGCAAAGCAGAACTAAAGTAGCTCAAAAGAAACCTGAGATATGCAAATTTTGAGATATCTCTACTCCAAATGTTCATATGGACTATCTGTGGCAGAGCCTTCTGAGGTCATATCGGTCTGATGAGCCACAGTCAGACACACTGTACTTTGACTCTCATATAGTTCTCTTCAAGCTTGCAGGACAACAACCAAATCTATGGGAGCTGATGAGATTACCAAGTTTAAGCCGTATACATGGAAAAGAGAAGAGAGTGCCTGTGGGACACCCATGGTTAGTAGATGTGACCTGGATGAGCATCCAGCAAAGGAAACTGAGAATGAGAAGTCTCATTCATGGCTTGGACAGAGTGGTGTCCCTAAAACGTGGAGAGAAGAGTGCATTAAGAACAAGATGATGAATAGTGCTAAAGGCTATAGAGAGGTCAAGAAAAATTAGGATTCCCTCCAGTAGTTGGGGGGCAAGTGGTGACCCAGAGCCAGTACTCTGCCCATTGTGTTTTTAATGGAGTCAAATCCATGTGGCTTATATATTTTTTCTTTCAATCTTAGGCATTTTGTTTCTCTTTCTGAGAACATACCTTGAAAACACTACAGAGCCAATACTCATATAAAAATGTATTCTATAAATGCTGTATAGTTTTTATATACATTAGCAATGTACTTTTGCTGCCTTCTAGATAATTTATTTTGCAACACATTACTGCACAGCTGTAAATAATTTACATACTGTAACATCACTTTCAGTTGTGTGTAAAGAAATAAATTAATTTTTTAAAAAGAAAAAGAAAAATGAGGATTGAGAAAAAGCCATTGGATTTGGCAATTAGGAGATCATTTATAACTTCACATAAAGAAGTTTTGGTGGAATGATGAGATAGGAAACCAAATTGTAGGGGTTAAAAGGAAAGTAAGAGGGGAGGAAATAGAAGCTGGAATGAGATGGCTTGTGCAGATAAAGAGGTTTGCCTTGATAAGGAGTAGGGCTGCCTCTTCATGTGAGACAGGGATGAAGGAGCATATAGTGGCAGAAGGAATCTGATTGATATGACATGAGGAAGAGAGAAGAAGGAACTCCTGGTGAATGACCTCAAAGTTTTCTGTAACATTTGAGGCAAGGTTCTTAACTGAGGAGATGGGGAGAGAAGGAGCCATGGTAACTTTGTTGTTCAGTAGTTTCA